AAAAGGAAGAAAGATAGAAAAACAACCGAAAAGATAAAGTCCCCAAAGTGCCTCATTTTTAGATGATTGAATTTCAAGAGTGTTAAAGGAGACATATGCCAATGGGCCCATTTCTCAGGTGATGCCAGACAACTGATCTGAGTGGCATAAATATATTTTCTCATTCTCTGTGTGGTTGATCCAACAGTTGACCTAAATCATCTTGCAGCTAACCTGATGCAATAGCATCACAGAGGTGTGTAGAGTAGAACTAAAGAAAGTGCCAGAAACAATGAGTCACCCCTTCCAAAGAAAGAGAGTCCATCACAGTTCATAGCTGCCATCCAGAACACATTTTACTGGCTATTTGTTGAATCCCAGGTCATATTTATTTAGCTATTTGACTATTACAGTATGATTAAAAACCCAAAGGCACACGATATGAGCATATTTGCTTCTGGACCACTTTTAAAAGTTAATTTCAAAGCTGCCAAATTATCAGCCTTGAATTTCTCAGTCTAAAGATTAGGTCCAGTTCAGACATCAGCTGAACTTAATTCATTGCTGGACATCTGTGAGCAAATCTCCAACATCTCTCTGTCCATCTTCTTCATCTATAAAATAAATGAGTCAGTACTCACCATGCTTTCAGATAGAATTCTCTAAGGATAAGCAAAATCTTCTAAAGAAAAACACATGCAGACTCAGGTGTGGTGATGCACACTTGTAATCTAGCACTTGGGAGTCTGAGATAGGAGTGTCGGGAGTCAAAGACCAGCCAGAACTACATAGTAAAACCACAAAGAAGAAAAGAATGAGGGGAGGGAGGGAGGGAGGGACGGATGGACAGACGGACGGAGAGAGAACATGGTACCATTCAGATCCAAATAATATCTACTAAGATATCTGCTTGATGCTATTTACTCACTTATGTATTTTGCATATATCTTTCATTTAATCTTCATAATCACCCCATATTGTACATAATTATTAGATACATTCTTAAGACACAACGTCAAGGACCAGAAAAGTTGCTTAATTTTTCTCCTTAGCTGCTACAACCAAGCACAGGCAGACCTAGAGTTTAAATTCTAATTCACCTTTCTTTTCCACTTCTTGCTTTCATTACAGCTTTGTATAAGCAGGAGGCTGTGATCATTTTAAGGTTTCCCCACAGAATGAAAAGTCTAGGAACCACTAACAGTCAGAAAACCAACTGTCTGAGTCTGAGCCAGGCATGAAGTGCTTCCTGGCCAAGGTCAAGGTGCAGCAGCACTGTGAACTTTCTGGGGAGGCAGATATAAGCTATGAAGGAGAAAACCCTGGGTTTATTTCTGAAAGCAGTGAAGACTCTCCTGATGTCTCAAGATCAAAGAAGACTGGAGGAGGGGCTGGGAAGATGGCTCCGGAGCTGCGGAGATGACTCCTTGGGTAAGAGCATTTGCTGACCAAGCATGAAGACCTGAATTCAAATCCCTGGCAACCACATAAAAGCCAAACATGGCTGCATGTGCCTGTAACTGCAGCATTGTAGAGGGGGAAACAGGAGGGTGTCTTTGGCTTGGAGCTGCCAGGTTCACTAACAGACTCTGTCTCAAGGATGAAGGGTATAGAGCAGGACACCTGAGATCACACATCTAAACACACACATGCACATACATCATACACTTTAAACACACACGATGACTTAATAGATATAAACAAAAATTTAACTAGCAAGGGAAGACTTTTAGAAGTGAGGAAACACTTGAATTCCCCAGATGTACACACAATTCTGAGATAATATCCAGCAGGGGGCAAGCTTCTTACCTAGTAGAAATTGCACAGCCCACGATCCTTTGCAATGTATTTATAGCTGCCCCACGACTAAGAAGTCGACATTTGATCTGTTCTTTCCAAAATGGGTTTTTAAAAATTCAAAAGGAAAAAGAGCAGGAGCCCAGTGAACAACGTCTTCTCAGCTGCTTGTACACAGTGCATCCTGAAAGAATAACTGACAGGCCAGAGACACCTGCTTGTAATGAGAGTGATATTCTAAGGGTGGGGGCTGTGAGAAGGGGACGTGGCTGCTCATGTGACCTACACACACACACACACACATACACACACACACACACACACACACACACAGAGCTGATATAGAGGTCAAGGGAGGGAAAGTGACTCGGTTAATGTGTTTCCTCTGTAGCTCTCTGATGGTTAAACTTCTCAAGAGTGCCATGAAAATCAGTAGCCAAAAGAATAGGCCAGATAACCCTAATCCCTGGCTTTCTGGTGGTCCCAAGTACTTTTCAACCTCTAGAAGTCTATGGGAAATGGGAAGTGGAAGTTTTATAGAAGAGTGCCCAATATGATACATAATGGTTGAGACCCTCCGAAGCCAGAGTTAACATAAAAATGCTATCTGTAACCTACACTCTTTTATCCAAGTCTCCTATTCCAAAAAGTTCTGATACTCGTAAGGTTCTTTGTGGATCTCATTTGACAGCAATCCTGAGTTGACCTGAATTCTTTTAGTAGCATTATCTGGCCTAGATTTAATGAAGGTGTCACAGAGTGCTGCTTCGAGTCCCTAAGGGTGGGGAATTTATCAATATTAGCATATGTGCCCTGGCTACAGTGTTTACCCAGCCTCCAAATATATTTTTAGGAGAATAACTTAATGCAACTAATTTCCTAACTTTAGTATTTTGTGATACTACAATTTTAAGATGCCTACACTATAACAGAAAGAAAAAATGATAGTAAGAAAAACTAGTTTCTACATTCAGAATGATCATATGCCCTAGAAGATTATTCTTAGGTGAGATTTTTATTTCCAAATATATTTTGGGAGAACAGCCACCAATGATCCTTTGGTTCGGATGGGTGTCTTATAAAGTCACTTGTGTGTCTGTCCTTGCCTCTCACCTTGATTTTGAGTTTATCACTGTGTATTCCAGGTTATCTATGCCAGGAGTTTCCCAGAATTCTCCTGTTTTCTTCTCTCATCTCATCATAGAAGAGCTGGGATTACAGATATGCTCCCACCATGTCCAGGGTTTTTATGTGGGTTCTGGGGATCCAAACTCAAGACCTCACATCTGTAGAGCAAGTGCTTCACCCACTGAGACAAATCCCTGGCCTCCACTCGTTTTTTTTATTTTAAAGTTTTATTACTTTTTTTCTATTGTGTAACATCTACATCTTCTGTGCTTATAGTTTTTTATGGAAAATGTATACACAAGCACATGTACAATGAGAGAAGGAACAAGTTAAAACCAAAAATAAAGGACAAAAAGAATACTTCTTTTCAAGCCAAAAACAATAGAAGAAGGGAAAATATTACCGCTTACATGTATGAATGATTGAAAAAGCCAGGAGAAGGGTTATTTAGAGTTAAAAACCAGGAATTATAGCCCGAGAAGCATGGCAAGAACGAATTTATACTGCTCTGCAGAGACGGGGTTTGTGGTCACAAACGTTTTCTCACTTTCTTCTCAGTAAAAATCTGATTTGATCTGGATAGCTAGGATCCGAACGAAAAGATATGACTTCCCCCAGATGAGTCATGATTGAATTCTGGTCAATGGTGTAGGAGCAGCACACGGGATGCGAGATGGACTGGGCTCAGGTGAGCGGCAGACGTTTTTCTGCCTTCTACCTTCTAGAGTGAGGAAGTCCAGTCACCAGCTTAGACCCAGGGTGAGGAATGAAACCATCACCAGGATAGGAAGCAACGAGTTTTGAGCTGAGTCTCTGGGATCATTGTGGCCACCAAATTTACTCTGAATTTCCTTCTGCTGGACTTCTTTCCCACAAAAGAATAAATTTTCTTCATTTCTGATCTAACTGATAGATTTAAATTATATTCAAAACTAACTGATTGAGGGTCAGTGGATACCTCAGTCAATAAAGGTCTTGGAGGCTTAAGTTCAAATCTCCAGGACTCACATAAAAGTCCACCATGGCTATGCAATTCCTGCACTGGAAAGTAGGCAGACAGACCCCCAGACCTGCCCCAGACTCACGGGATAAGAATGTGCAGTGTAGTAAGCTTCCCTACTTCTCTGTAGAAGCAACTTTAGAAGTCTGAAAAGCATTCATGTAAAATCTCTCTGAGGAAAAGAGACTATGGCCAGCAGTGGAGGAAAAAAAAAGACAACATTAGTGATTTGAATGGCCTACTAAGTAGTGTTCATATTACCTAGATTCCTGAAGACAAGATGGTACAGAAATATGACCTAATTTTGAAATCAGAGAGCTAAGGTTATTTCCAAATGACAAGTTTCATAAGTTCAAGTGCAAAATAGAAACAGATTGTAGTGGTTTGAATAAGAATGCCCCCACTAGGCTTATATATTTCCATGTTTAGTCACCAGGAAGTGGCACTGTTTGAGAAGGATTGGGAGGTGTGGACTTTTAGAGGAAGTATGTCACTGGGGGTAGGCTTTGAGGTTTTCAAATCCCACACCAGGCCCAGTGTCTCATATTCTTGCTGCCGGTAGATCTGGATGTAGAATTCTCAGCTGCTTCTCCAGCACCATGCTTGCCTGCATGCTCCACACAATAATGATAATGACCTGAACCTCTGAAACTGTAAGCAAGCCCCAATTACATGCTTTATTTTATGAGTTACTGTGGTCATGGTGTCTCTTCACAGCAATAGAACACTGACTAAGACATCGATATGTTTTTATAAACCTTTTTGAAGTTTAACGTTGGCATTTTTGTTTTTATTTTTCGTGTTTGCCTGCATGCACACCTTTCTACCACCTGTGTGCCTGGTGCCTGGTGCCTGTGGAGGTCAGAAGGCACTGGAGCCCCTGGAACTGGTGTTACAGATGATTGCGAGCTGCCTTGTGGGTGCTAGGTCTTGGAATCTGTGTCATCTGGATAAGCAGCTATTGCTCTTAACCATTGAGCCATTTCTCCAGTCCAACTTTGGCATTTCTTATATACAATTCAAAATGAAGGAGAATATTCCCACATGGTAAGAAAACTGCTAAGCTCTAGAAACAATAACCACCTTGGGCCATTCATTACTGTAAGACTTTTATTCTTGTTTTTCAGCTACATGGCCTACATATCTCCTTAGGAACCATTAATTCTCTAATAGGTTCATTCACACCCCATTGCTTTGTTGAAAATGCATACATTTGCATCATTTAAAAGTGAACATTATTCTGTCAATGTATATTTACTCTCTGAATAAGTTCTCCACTCCACAAATAAATTGCCAGTAAGTTCATTTGATTATGGAAATGAACAGTTGTTTTTAATCAGTTAATTTTGGGTAATTCTCAAATAACTTTTTTTTAGATTTATTTACTTATTTATTTATTTATTATGCAGTGTTCCCTCTGCCTGTATGCCTGCAGGCCAGAAGAGGGCACCAAATCTCCTTACAGATGGTTGTGAGCCATCATGTGGTTGCTGGGAATTAACTCAGGACTTCTGGAAGAGCAGCCAGTGCTCTTAACCATTGAGCTATCTCTCCAGTCTCTCTCAAATAACTTTTACAACTGTTTATTAGAGACAATTGATGCACAATAAAACGCCCACATCTTAATTATGCTTCTGTCAAGTTGACACAGAAAACCAGGCAGTGTAGTCCCCAGTCAGTTCATTTCTTAACATGTGTTCCCCAGTAACTGGGGGAGGCTGTGAGGCGAGTCTGACTGGAAGAAGTCGATCACTAGGACTGTACCTTTGAAGGTGACAGGGTTACCATTGTTTGAGCATCACTTTCTGCTTCTCAGTCCACCATAATGACAACAGCCTCTGACAAGCTCCTGTCTCCACGCTCTGAGCTGCTCTGCCATTAGCTACCCTGACACGATGGGCTGAAACCATGAGCCAAAGTAAATCTTCTCTCCCCTGACTCATTCCTGACAGGCATCATTGTCACTGTGATGCAAAGAGAACAACCACACCTTCCAAAGGAGGATGAGGAAGGCACGAGGAGGTCTCTGTACTCCGCAAATGTGGGTGACCAGCAGGAAGCATAGGTTAATCATAAGCCTGAGCAGTACAACAGTGAGACTGGCTGTCACCAGGGTGGTCCCTGGTTAGCCAAAACCAGCACACCCATGTCTCAGACAGTTGTTTTGCTCTAACTACAGTTCATGTGCACTGATAGCCGAGGTCAGAGCTCTGTTTGGGGGTGCATCTCTATATATTTGGGGGCCAGCTCTTTGATGAGGTTCACATAGTCATTTTTTTCTGCACAAGCCCTGCACTCTTCCCCCCAGCTTTGCAGAATCTGCTTCAGTTCTGCGACTCTCATCTTCCATAGGTCCACGGATGCCAAGTCCAATTTCTTCTCTAAATGTCAAAAAAAAGAACACACAATTGAACAACAAAACAAAATCTCATGAAACTCTTAGAAAGGCATACAGTGCTGACTCCATTCTCCTTCAGTGTGGGTCAATTCCCCTTTCCATGGGGATCAAGACATACCCAATGAAAATGTGGCATTACCAGTCAGCCCTCTATACCCTTGGTTTCTACCCTTTATAGACCAATGATATTCAGGAAGAGAAATACTGAATCTATGTTGAGCATATACAAAGATTTTCTTGTCATAATCCCCTAAACAATACAGTATAACAACTATTTGCTAGCTAAAATGGCTTGGGGGAGGGGAGGCACTTGCTTCTAAGCCCAAGGACCTAAGTTCAATCCCCAGTGATCCACACAGTGGAAAGAGGGAACTAACTCCCACAGATTGTTCCCTGACCTTCACATGTATGCTGTGGCTCACATGCACTCACACATGCTCAAGAGTTCAAGCACACATGTGCATATGCACACAAACACACAAAACATGTAATGGAAACCCATTTACATAACATTTACATTATATGATGTAATGCCTGGAGTCTATGTAAATGATATGCCATTTTATATTAGGAATTTGAGCACCTGGGGATTTTGTTATCCACCACTGTATAAAGCTACTAGTACAGTTTTCATTCTTTACCATCCCCCTAAAGGGTTATGTGGGCTTCAAAACAAGGGCCTGGAAGCTTTGTAGAGTTCTGAAGTCTGTATTCCCAGAAGAAATTAATTGCTTAATTGCTTCTCCAAAGATTGAAAAGACAGAAATTTATAAATAAAAGCCAGTGTCTTTGCCATGGACTTCGTTGTGGCTAACTAAAAGACATAGGCCATAACTAACCAGCAGGTTATAGTCCAGTTTTAAGAGAAAATACATCTTCAATAAGGCATGTGAGTATTATAGAATCTTCATAACAGTGTGAAGAAATCAGAGCTGGAGAGGTGGCTCTCCAGTTAAAAGTATACTCTGCTCTTGCAGAAGGACCAAGTTCAAGTCCCAGAACCCACATCAAGCACTTCATAACCACCGAAAACTCCAGCTCCAGGGGTCTGACAAGAAACTGAAAAGAATTTATAACTATTGATACATTCAAGAGAAGTTGTTGAAGGAGAAAAATAACTTTAAGTAAATGTCGGCAGTTTCTTTGATATTTTTCTAGGGGAAAATAGGATTCCAGCATTAAATTTAAAAGGGGAATGCCACAGTACTCTTAAAAATATGAGAAAGAGGTCAATACAGAAATTAAAATCAGTTTATGGCTTCCCAAGATTCTCTGATGGCCATTGTTCTCGTGTATAAATAAATATTAGTTTTCTCTATAATATCTGATATTTTTCCAATATTTAAGGAGCCCTGTGAGGTAAATCCATTCACTGTATGTGCAAGTCTTGGAAAGTGAATCTGTTGTGTGACTTACTTAGCACAAGTTGTCCCTTCTGGGACCATGTTTCATGTGGACTCTATGTTTCATGTGGACTCTATGTTTCATGTGGACCCAGGGCTTCTAGCCTCTACCCTACTCCTTTGAAGTCAATAAAAAGGCACGCTTACCCATAATAACTACCCTGAGAGCCAGGGACTGTGCCTGGCAAACATGAACAAGGTTGTCTTTGGTGCCTTTCCACCTTAAACCTGTTTCATGTTTCATGTTTGCTGTGTAGCTATGAGACATACACACATTGCACAGCTGTGATGGGAAACAAGACTCAGTGATTCAGAGTTGGATGCTAATTACTTATGTCATTTACAGTAATGAGTGTGTGTGTGGTGCGAGAGAGAGAGAGAGAGAGAGAGAGAGAGAGAGAGAGAGAGAGAGAGAGAGGACAACAATTTAGGCAGAAAGAAAACGTCTCTATCAGCGGAATTTCAGGTATTAAGGATAGCCTTCAATCACACTTACTCCATCTATGCAAAAGGCTGGCCCAGATACAATCCTTCAGTGTAAGAATAGATTTAACCATGTGAAATTTATAAGGCCAAGGATAGAGTTTTTAAATAGGACATTGCCTTCCTTTCCTGGCTGTTTATTTTAGGCATCCCTGATGAGCTATGTCATCACGCAGAAGCTGGTTTAATGGGACTGGCCCAGTTCCGAAAAGCAGAAGCTGGAGGAAGGATAAACACACCTAGGGTGAAAATGCAGTCACATTACAACTTCAAAGCCCTCCTGCCACTGAACACATTGACTCATGTCTTCACAGTCCACCATACGTGGCTCCTCTATTCATTTTCAGGAATTTTCCAGACACGCATACCTGACATCACCTTAGTAAACTAGGAACTTAAACTTGGGGCTGGCAGTTCCAACTTAACACCCATTATCCATTATTATCTAATATGTGATACTAGGTTATTGTTAATTTATTTATTTCCCTCCCTTTGTAAGAGGTCAGCTGACACAAAAGCACCCTTCACCAGCTCAGCAACCTGTCAGTGAGTGGAGAATTCCTTCCCTCTAACGCTGGCTTTTAGATAACAGGGCCCAGTGTTTCAAAGCTCGACGATGCATGGAATACATTGGGAAAGTCTCTCATACCATACTTTAGCTCACAAATCTGGCTGTCCATCTTCTTCAGCCTCTCACAGATCTTCACTGTGGGCATGTGCACACTCACGGGACGTGTGACTTCACCTAGAATCTTGGTGGCTGCGTCTTTGGTGGCTCCTAGATAATAGCACTGAAAAGGGAATGATAGGCAATACGGGGCTGGTGAGATGATTTGGATGGTAAAGGTGCCTGCCACCAACAACCTTAGTTTGACCCCTGAGACCCACACGGCAGAAGGAGAGAAGAGACTCTAGCAACTTATACTCTGACCTCTATATGCATGCCACATGCATGCATGCAAAATAAATGAATGAAATGTAACTAAAGACTTAGTGTTCCTGATAATGAATAAAAGCAAGAGAAACAGTATAAATAAGGGAGAATGAGGCAGGGTGGTGGTGTGCACATTTAATCCCAGCAGTCAGGAGACAGAGGCAGGTGGATCTCTGTGAGTTTGAGGCCAGCCTAGTTCACTGAGCTAGTTCCAGGACATTTGGGGCTGTTACACAGAGAACCCTGTCTTGAAAAACCAAAGAAAAAGGGGAGAAAGGAGAATGAGAGGTTAGCTTTGTCTTCATAATCCAGCTACTAAAGTTTAACCCTGACTGGCTAAGGCACTCCAGTCTTGTCATCAGAATAATTAGATTCACCTGATGATGCCCATGATGGCTGGAGACTGGTGAGAACTCACACTTAGTGTTTGCTCTCATAGGCTCTTCAAAGGGATTAACTTATTTACTTCTCACAGTGATCCTGAGTGATATTATTATCCCCATTAGTACCCAAGGCAGCAGAAGGTCACCCAGCCCAAAATAGGAAAAGACATACATATACAGTCTAGCATTTTAGCTGCCACTATATCACCATGTCTATAACTTCATCACATTGCCTTTCCAGTTACCTGACTTAAAATTTTACATATAAAAATATAAAATCAAGTGGTGGCGGTGCATGCTTTTAATCCCAGCACTCAGGAGGCAAAGGCATAGGCAGGCAAATCTCTGAGGTAGAGGCCAGCCAGGTCTACAGAGCAAGCTCCAGGACAGCCAGGTCTACACAGAGAAATCCTGTCTCAAAAAAAGCAGGTGTATGTATGTATGTGTATATGTATATGTATGGCTGAGGCCTGGCTCAGAATTTAAGAGTTCATACTGCTCTTCCAAAAGATCTGAGTTGGGTTCCCAATATCTACCCATACTAGGCAGCTCACAATAGCCTGTCTTCAGCTGGAAGAGATCCAACACCTTCTTTTGGCCTCTTCAGGCACCTGCATTCACACATGCACAAACCCCTATACAGAATCACACACATAAACATAATGAAAAATAAAAATAAACTTTGCTTGTGTTTATACATATATGAAGGTTAGTGACACAAAAAATGACAAGAGTTTGGCAATACGTCAGTCAGTAGTATATATTAGCATGGCCCTTTAGACAAAAAAGATCTGATCTGGTACCTTAGGTATAGTACTGTAGTAAAACACATGCTTAGCATGAACAAGGTTGTGTGTTCAGTACCAAGATGGGGAGAAATGATTTGATCTAAAATTGTCTCTACTGATATAGAAGTATTGAAACAAGCCCTACATTAAATTCAGGAAGTACAATCTAAAAAAGAAAACATAAAATCCTGAATCATTACATGTGAATAATACTGAGATGATTTATGGGTTTAACTAAGTGTCTTAGTAACAAGTGAAAAAGCCTTACAATAGTAAATTCTCATCAGAAACAGTTTTGAAATTCAGTTTAAGAAAATGTAAAATTACTTGTCTGTGATTTACTCAGAAAGGAAAACTGGATTACTCCCAAAACGAATCCATAGTGGATGGGGGAAAAGAAATAAAGGAAAGGACTTGACTGCTCCTAGGTGTGGTGAAGGAGAAGGTTAATTGTAAATAAAAGGGAGAGCACAGCCAGAGGCAGAAACATCTGGGAGAGTCCAGAGTGAACATCACCCTGAGCCATGTGAGGACCCTGTCACAGGTAGGGACTGAAGGATACTGGGAGTACCTTGTGGTCGGGTCCACTTTGATTTGTTAAATAGGCATTTCAGCCATCTGTCCCAGGATTCGAGACTTAACACATAGGACAATGTTTCCCAGAAGACTGATTTCTGCTTGCCATCTGCAGTGAACATGTTTGAATTAGGCATTGAAGAAGGAAGACACCAACTCCAAGTTGAAAGGGAAATTATTGGTAGTTTTTTTGAAACACACCAGAGAAATAAAATTTACCATACCAGGCGGTTTTCTTTTCCTTTGGCATCCAAGCAAAAGCTGATCAACTCTTTCTCTATGGTGTCCACAGAAAAGTCTATTCCTCTGGTTAGCAAGGAGTTGTAGAATCGGCTTAAGAACTCTTTACATACTAGAAGGAAGAGAGACTTAGGTCTGTTACACAATTCTACCTCTACCACATCCATGACTGTGACCCATGCACCAAGTGAGAAAAATATAGATAGGATTCGGGGTTGGAGTGGTGGCTCAGCAATTAAAGAGCACTTGCAGCTCTTACAGAGGACCCAGGTTCGGTTCCTGACGCCTACAGCTTACACCCATGTGTAACTTCAGTTCTAGGGATCTGATGCCCTCTTTTGGACTCCATTGGTACCAGGCATACATGTGGTAAAATAAATACATTCAGGCAAACACTTATATGCATAAAATAAAATTTAAATTATATACGTATGACTCAATGCATTATGACCATGGATTCAAACCTTATACATTCTTTGGGAGTCTGTTACTAAAGCCATGAATGCAGTAGACAGATTCCACCAATCAGTCTTTGGAACCAAGTTCCACCTAAAATGAAAACCTTCATATAAACCTTGGCAGACCCTAAAAGATAAGATAGCTTTTTTATAGGATATGGTCTTGGGAATAACTTTGCTTCAAGAACGGAGAAAAATCTGAGTAACTCTAATACCTTAAATGAAGCTTCTTAGCATGAACAAGTGTTTATGTTCCCCCACCATGAGTCTGAGATTGGTGGAACCCTAATCTGCTATTTTAGAACCATACTTTAAGTATAGCAATAGTTAAATCCTAACTTGAAGGACCTTATTCAGTCCCAATTGCCTTGAGCTGTGAGAGATAGAACTAAGAACAGGCACCACCGTGAGAAACCACCATGTTAACATCTGCCAGGGCTAGCACATGCTGGCTCTGATGCAAGTATTAAGTGTATTTTAACTCATTCAAGCTTCACAACAAAGCTCTGGTGTAGATACTTCACTGCCCTCTTTACCGATAGACTGAGCCAAAGACACATCAGCTAACTTGATGGGCAAAAGGTAGAGAGGATAGTGGCCCTCAGTGGTCCCTGGCCATGTTCTCCCTGATGTGGGAGGAAGATTAATCTTTTCTTCTTTGGGTTGTTCTTGTCAGGACTTTTGTCATCTTAAGGAGTAATGTCACTAGGGCTCATATCCTCTTTCCTTGACTTCTGGAAATCCAATGAACATTGGTTAGCGTTTTCTTTATCTTTATTATCTCTTTCCCATCTTATCCTTTCATCTCTCCGTGATACATTCTTGGCTGTATTTTTTCCTCTACTGATAAGAGTCTCATGTATCGCCAGGCGTTGGTGGTGCACGCCTTTAATCCCAGCACTCGAGAGGCAGAGGCAGGCGGATCTCTGTGAGTTCGAGGCCAGCCTGGTCTACAAAGTGAGTTCTAGGACAGCCTCCAAAGCTACAGAGAAACCCTGTCTCGAAAAACCAAAAAAAAAAAAAAAAAAAAAAAAAGAGTCTCATGTATCCTGGGCTGGCCCAGACTCCCTATTCCAGCTTAATTTTTGATCCTCCTGCACCATGCCCCAAGAGCTAGAATTACAGGTGAATACTACCATATTATGCAATATTGCGGGTCAAACCCAGAGCCTCATATATGCTAGGCAAGCACTCTACCAACTGAGCTACAGCCACAGTCCATCTCTGAGATCTGGTAATATGTTATTTCTTTTTCTCATTGGTATCTAATCTGTTGTTGGTCTCATCAGTTTTATTTACAGAAGTTTAGTTGGCTCTTTTCCAAAAGTCTCCTGCTCTATATTTATATTATCAGCCCCTTCACTTCTTTAAATATAAAAATCAATTTAACGATTGATAATAACTAACCCTGAAATCTTTTCAAGTAGACTACTTCTGTTGCTGGTCTCAACTGGCCATAACCTATGAAAATGTGATTGGGAAGTCACTCATAACACCCAGTCAACTTCACAGTCATAAGGTTAAACGCTGCACTGTAGAGTGTACCATACTCCAAAACTAGGATGCTTGGCAGATTAGGTGTATTGAATGTATCTCAGAAAAGAGATTTTAAAATAAAATGGTATGCCTGCACATGAGTCTTACTATGAATGGAGCTGTAGAACTAGAAGCTGTGGGGGGGTGAACCAACACTAAGGTCAAGAGGTAGACACTACAGGCACTGAACAATTAAGCTACAGGACATATTTGAAAAAAATAGTTTTCTATCTTTTGTGATAAATTAACCTTAGCTTATTATAAGTTTTCCCACCATATGAATTCTCTAATTTTAAAAACACTATTTAATTGTTTTGTTATGACCCTTAGCCCGAAACACGAACATTGCTCTGTATCTTCCTGCTTGAAAAATCTGTTAAGTTCTTAGTTTATTTCTTACTTTTTAAACTTGTTTGTTAAAAACTAAGACACAAAAGTATGTGTTAGCCAATGCCTTCATGGGGTCTGTGTATTTCAGAATCAACACAAACAAATGATTAAAAGCAGGTGAGTTAACATCACTGAGTGATAGAAAATGTTCATAAGTCCATAGAACCATTTTCATAAACATGGTCCATTGTTGGCTGAAATGTTGATATGTAGCACATCATTATAAATCTGGGATGATTTAGGATGGTACAAAAATGTATAATTCCTCATATTCAAGCTTATTCTTAAATGAGACCACAAAGAAAAGGGAGATGGAGAAAGTATAGGCCTGGGTGTCATCTTCATGAAACACCAAGGTTTAGAAGTTGAGAATGTAAGACAGGATCAGAAAAGCATCCTTAGGAACAGTCAGTAAGACATAACAAGAGAAAAGACCAGTGTTCTCCCTAGAGGCAAATGATGAAAGCACATCCAACTGATTAACAATGTTACGAGCCACTGATAGAGTGAAAAATGTCTCCTGACATATCAGCCCAATTATCAAATACATTAAGTCTGCAAAGAAGACAGCTGCTGTCATGACATTGCTATCAGTGAGCAAGAATTCATCAAAGTCTCTAAGCAACTGCCCATCATGTCTTACTACAAGAGAGATCCAGTCTTGCAAAGTCTCTTCCCCAACATGTCCTCATATGATTTCTTAAGCTCAGCTGTCCTCCTGACAAGGAGCCATTTACCCAAAAGAGGAAAAAATAAACATTTGGTTCACCAACACATGCACGAAATTTTGCCATAGCACATTTATATCTTTTTGTTCAATAATCAGCCGGTTGTGTGACAGAACAGATTTTGAAAACCACGGTATGAGAGACATCATCTAGGAAAACTTTTTAAAGGTGTAGTTGCGTGGCGGACAGTAAAATGATTTCTGAATCCTCTGAGAAACATACTGGATACTGTGGGGGAAAAAAGCAGAAGACACTACCTGGAGGGAACTGGGAAACCACTGAAAGACTTTTAAAACCAAGGAGCAATGTGACAACCTTCCCAGTGAACTAGAAAGTAAAAACAGTGGAGGTCTGTAGAAAGTTGATAACCCGGTGGAAGGTAGATTCAATAGGCAAGCAATTGGTTGGCAGAAAGAAGGAAAAAGAAATATCAAACAAACCAGTGACCTCTGCTGACCTCATAGAATAGGAATAAGCTCCTAAGGAATAAAAAGTGAGGAGGATTGCTTTTTAACTATGTAGAGTTTTTTAAATGTTAGCCATTTCATAATCACCTATTGGACAATATGGGAAGAAAGTGTCTTGGATATAGAGACGTAGGATTTACTAGTCGGTCAGTTAGATTAGTTTTTATTGCACTGTATGTAGACTAATAATAAATGTGGACAGAGGGCACAGCACTGAAAAATTCCAACACTTAAGTCACGGCTAGGCCAAGCATGGTAGTATATGACCGTAATCCCAGCACTTGGGAGGCAGAGGCAGGCAGATCTCTGAGTTTGAAGCCAGCTTGTTTTGCATAGTGAGTTTCAAGCCATCCAAGGCTACATAGTAAGACCCTGTGTCCAAAGAAAGAAGGAAAGAGAGAGAGAGAGAGAGAGAGAGAGAGAGAGGGAGGGAGGGAGGGAGGGAGGGAGGGAGGGAGGGAGGGAGGGAGGGAGGGAGGGAGGGAGGCAGGGAGGCAGGGAGGGAGGGAGGGAGGGAGGCAGGGAGGCAGGGAGGGAGGGAGGGAGGCAGGGAGGGAGGCAGGCAGGGAGGCAGGGAGGGAGGGAGGGAGGGAGGGAGGCAGGCAGGCAGGCTATAGCCAGAGAATTAGAAGCACCTGAAGAAATTTGAAAACTATTTGCAGTGACAGAAGGAAAAGACAAAAGAAATAGCAGTGTCAAGCCCATCAAGGCAAGAGTTTCTGAAAGGAAAAAAATTAACAATGATGGCAGATGCCACAGAAAAACACAAGTTTAATCCTTGAACTTACATGAGGTTATTCTCTAATAACCACAGCACAGATGATTGACGCTAGTAACTTCAGGTTCCTGGCTTGTGCTTATTAGCATGATATCAAATGGTTACCTTTCTTTTACTCATGCTGCAGGGTTTTCTTTGTTTATTGAAGTAGTTTCATCAAGGGGAGCTCATGGACCCCAGACTGGTGACTGAGAGGCCAGCATGGGGCTGATTCAGATCCCCTGAAGGTGGATGTCAGTGAGGAGGCCTCAGCAATCTATAGGGCCTTGGAAAGTAGATAAGTATTTATCCCTGGCATACAAATGGACTTTGGGAGCCCATTCCACATGGAGAGATACTTTCTATGCCTGGACACATGGGGGAAGGCCTAGGCCCTGCCCGAGATGATATGACAGACTTTGAAGATCCCCCATGGAAGGCCTCACCCTCCCTGGGGAGCAGAGAGGGAATGGGGTGAGGGAATGGGGGAATTAGTGGGAGGCAGGGGAAAAGGGGAGGGAGAGGGAACTGGGATTGACATGAGAAGCAAGCTTGTTTCTAATTTAAATTTAAAAAGAGTGAAAAATAAAGTAATTTCATACATCAATAATCTATACCAATTTCAAAATAGTTTAAGTTTCATAATAAAATCCTGTTTGTTTTTGTTTTTGTTTTTTGGAGGGGGGCAGGGTTTCACTGTGAAACAGTCCAGGCTGTCCCAGAACTCACTCTGTAGACGAGGCTAGCCTCTAATTCACAGAGATCTATCTACCTGCCTGTGCCTCCCAAGCACTGGAAATAAAGCCATCTACCGCCATCACTTAGCTAATAAAATCTTTTTCATGATTTCTGGAAATACTTGTTTTCTCAGAAAATCTCAAATTACCTACGCCCAAGACTCACAAACTAAACTATCATCTACGGGGACTGGATAAGCCAAGTGAATAAGAAAGGCAATTTGAAAATCTCCCAAACCAGCACAGATCAGTAGGTTGAAAGTGGCCCATGACATTATGTCTTACCACTGCTATAGTATATGGAATAGAATACATATGCTGTATTATTATGTGCAGTATAAGACAGTATTTTAATCTTATCCACTGACAGGAAACTAAGTAACTAACGAAGAAGCGCTCGCAAGGACTGCAGAGACAGTTCAGGTGGTTACAGCTGGTGGCCAAGTCTGATGGCCTGAGTTTGAGTCCCAGGACCCACACTGTAAAAGGGCAGAAAGGACTCTGTTCTCTGACCTCCTCGAATACACTCAGGCACTTGTGTCAGACAGACAATGTAAAAAGACTAATAAGCAGTCATAGAACCTGATGTAAAGCCTAGCTCTTATTCCATAATCCCTGCCTATGTGAGTATGTAGCCTCCTTGCCGAACAAATAGGATACATGAATGAGTTAGGCAAACATGCAAGCTAATAATCACAATGAACTGTGATAAATTAGAAAAGGGGGCAGGCTTCTCCATTAATCCAGATGCCCTGTCGCTTCTGATTATGTTTTCAGACCAAAACTACAAAAAGTATTGTGGATGGCTCATCGAATGAGACTTAAATGTGTTGGGAAATGTGAGATCTTTAAAAAATATTCATGTATTTATTTACTTTCCTGTTTATTTACTTATCTATTTACTGGTTTATTGTGTGAGTCAGCACACCACTGCTATGTGCGGAGGTCAGGGGACTAGTTTCAAGAGTAATTTTTCTCCTTTCCTCCTGTGGGGTCTGGAAACACCAAACTGTAGGGTCTAGGGACCAAACTGAGATTTTTCAGGCGTGGAAACAATCACCTTTAGCTGCTGAGTCATCTGCTTGCCCAGAATGGCATCTTTAACTGAAATTATAACTGTAAAACAAGTATCTATCTACAGAATTTTAAAATAACACTTAGCCTATTTTAAAATTTCTAGAGAAATTGCTGATAGAAAGCTGGACTCTGATTATTAAGACTTATTTTATTTTATTTACGGTAAGTCTACACACTCAGCCACTCAATGTCAATCTTGGCAGTCCACATTTTTTTTTTTTAGTAAGACCACTCTCAAGACCAGAAGATACACATTTACAATAAAAGCAGGATTTAAGTACTACATGGTCCCAAAATGACTAGCAAAACTCTCACCTTGGCTCTTGTTAACAGTCCTATAAAAAGTATGCTGTTTTGTAAAACCTAGGTAGTACAACACCCTCAAAGCCAGGGGGGTTGGTGGAATGGATAAAGGTGTTCTGATCGCCAAGTCCATAGAAGAAAAAAATTTCTCTATTTTACTCTTCTTAAGGAATTAATGTGCTCCTTTGTGTTAAAAAAAAAAACCGATATCCAACTGTAAGTTTTAACGAACACTAACTTTGTTTTTGATTTCAGCAACGCTGGCATGTTTTATTTTCCTTCTTGGGATGACAAATTAGTTTGAACCTCAAAATATGTCTTATGGACCGAGAGGCAAGACTCCCCAGTTAGGAGCAACAGAATTAAGTTGGCAGCGAGATCATTTGCACAAAATCCAACAGGAATCCTAACCCACTCCTTTTCCTGCACCAGCTTAATGACAGCAAAAAGCAGAACGTATCCTCAAGTGTCCCTGGGCCCCAATCAAGCTTTTGCTTAGGTTGCGAAAGGTGGGGGAAAATTACTGACTGGGCCGCACTTCTTGTGTGAGACGCTATTTTCAGCTTGGGCCCCCGGGAGAAAATGCTTAGGTAACAGCAGAGCTGAGCGTGGTGTCGCCGCCAAGCAAGCAGGTCACACACCGCTCACCTTCACAGTCAGCCCCCGGCTGCATACGGGTCTCCAGGCCCTGCGCCAGCACCGGGTTCGAGATCCAAAGCAGGGCGCAAAAAGTCACTAGGTTGGCTGGGTTCGTGCACCGCATGCTGAGCCTGAGACCGGGAACTGCCTCTGCCAACCACACTAAGGTCGCCGGACTACTGCCGCCGCAGGCAAGCTCGTGGGGTGAATAAGGGGCGGGAAACAAGTGACGCAATTTCGCCCAGTGTTCCCATTGGCTCTCATGAGCCGAGCTCGGAAGAGGAAGGAGCTAATGAGCCTCTTCCGGTCATTTCCGGTTTGCGCGTGCGCGTTACGGCATGCACGCGGGGCTCCGAAGGAGCGCGGAGTGATGCGCTAAAGTTATTGGCTAACCTCTGTGAAGGAAGGCGGGATCGTTACGCTGATTGGCTTGCGATTCGGGAGGCCGGCGCAGCAGACCGCACGCAGTAGGCGGGCGGGAACGCGAAGTCTCCGCAGTGCCTGACGGGCTGGCTCGGAGGAGCCTCTCTGTGGCCGCTGAAGGGTCCCTCGTTGAGCTGCCGTGGTGTCCGCCGCCTTATGGCGGCGATCGGCGTGCACCTGGGCTGCACATCGGCCTGTGTGGCTGTCTACAAGGTGAGACTGGGAAGCTGCCTCCGGGTCTCGTGGCGGCTGCACTGCTGCACTGTTCTCTGGGCTCCGGGTCTTCGACCCGGGAACCTTGGGTAGGAGCGAGTGGCGATGCTGCGGCTTCTCCGCTCGTCCGCCACAGCCAAGCCCGAAGCGTTGAGGGTAGAGGCATGAAGGATCTCGGGCACTCCGGAATTCCCCCCTGGACCTCGGGGCTGCTTTCTCCTTTGAGGCGTTCCGGGGACGGGAAGGCCGTGGGACACCCAGAGGAGTCTCCGGGAACTCAAGCCTGCAGGGTGCACTTGGGAGATCATAGAATGACCAGAAGGTGTGAGAAGACGTCAGGGCCCCAGGATGTCTAGAGAAGTTCCCGGGGCGGAGGGAAATCGTTCTTATAAAGATGCCTAGAACAAGCCTGGTTGTCAGGATCCCCAGGATGCCTGAGAGGTCCTAGTGACAACTGACCAAGACTCTCCGAAGTCACGGTGACATCACGGGCTCGGGATTCCCGGAGGTGGGAGGTTGCGGCGCCCGGGCCACAAGGAACTCTGAGGTATCAGGGAAAGAAAGACCAGACGTCCACTTGTTTGTACTAAGAAAATGCATGTGCTGCCTTTATTGTCAGGAGAATGTGTGTGTGTCTTCATTACAAGTGCTAAGAGGTCTCTTTCTTGTAGGAGGGAGGAGCTTTATATACAGGTTTACAGCACAGTGGAAAAACCCCAGGTAGAAGAGAGCGTGTTTTCCTCGTGCTGAATGTTGATGTTAGAGGGTCAAGGCCAGGGCAGTAAGCCAGGACTAGAAAACAGGAAGCACTTGGACTGGAAAACAAGTTGCACTTGTAGGCTGACCAGCAACTCACAGAGACCCTGTGGGTCTGGGGCCCAACAGGAGGTCTTTGGAATTTCTGGGCAATCAGAACTGCAGCCTGGAGAAGGGTACCTACCTAGTTAAGAATTGACACTGCTGTACACACTTGATGATTCCCGAACTGAGAACTTGACAAAGAGCTGTGACTTCTTTCTCCTGAATAACGAGGCAGAAGGAACAATGACAAGGAATTTACTCATTTCTAGCTCGGGTTTAAACGTTTCGTGCTTTATAAGGAAAGTCCCAAGGGATTACTGCATTTGTGGGAAAGTCATACTTTTTAGTTATCGTGTATAGAATGTTTGTGTTTGATTTGGTTTACTGTGCAGAACTAACCAGAAAAATGCAAGGAGTAGAAGCCTTGAAACTAATCGTGGCAGTTAAAAGATTGCTATACCATTTTTCTTTCCATATAGATGGCAAAGTAACACTGGCATAAATGCCAGAGTAACCTGCTGTCGGTGTTCTGAGTTAAGCAGGATGGGAAAGAGAGACACTGCAGTATGTAATAAGACTTTGTGAGCAGCAGGGTGGACCAGTCTCTGAGGACTGAAGCCCCAGTAGCCTTGGGGTTGTCTGGGGAACCGTTACCTAAGCAATTCTCATCCATTGCAAGAATTCCTGCTTTGCCAGGAATGTCTTGTGACTGAGGTCCTGCAAAGGCTCTGAAATTCCCAAAGAGCAACCTCACAAATCTCAGGTAACAATCCCTTATTATTTACAAGAGATTACTTAAAAGCCTAAATGACCATCACTTGGACTAACTGCCAAGTACAAAGGCTCTTTTAAACTTCTGCCACAACCTGCAGGTATGTTCAACGAGATTGTGTATTCCAGTGTAAAAGAACTAACCCTTGTGTGTCTTTTTTTAGGATGGCCGGGCTGATGTGGTTGCAAATGATGCAGGGGATAGAGTCACACCAGCCATCGTTGCTTTCTCAGAAAATGAACAGGTACTCTTTATTGCCTCTATTTTGTACTTGAAAATAATAAAGATCACATGCATTGTAGTTAAAATACTGCTTTTTTTCAGGTGGTTGGACTGGCAGCAAAACAAAGTAGAATAAGAAATATGTCAAGCACAGTAGTGAAAGTAAAGCAGATCCTTGGCAGAAGGTATGCTGTAAAGTACTTTTTTTTTTTTTTTTTTTTTTTTTTTGGTTTTTCGAGACAGGGTTTCTCTGTGGCTTTGGAGGCTGTCCTGGAACTCGCTTGGTAGTCCAGCCTGGTCTCGAACTCACAGAGATCCGCCTGCCTCTGCCTCCCGAGTGCTGGGATTAAAGGCGTGCGCCACCACTGCCCGCCTGTAAAGTACTTTTTAAGATGTGGGAATCAACGTTTGTAAGTTCTGGGCAAAATGAAACTAGAGACACTACCATTGTTTGATAATAGTCTTTTAGGGAGTACCCCCTTGCATTTGCTCAGAAATTCGATTCTTGCTAACAGGCCTGGTAGTATTAATGAATGCCGACGTTCATTTACCTTGGGTCATTTTTGTCATTCACAAGTGGTACTTTGGGGCATTTTGCCTTTTTATATATTTTTAACTGAGTGAGCTTGAATAGTCTTGTTGGAATTTAAAGATTTCTCTGCATGGCAATTGAGTTTTACAGAATGTCCTCGAATTGGTCACAATTTGTGTAACTGCTATTGATTTTCCTCCTCGGGGCCCTTCGTGACTCTTTCTGGGAGCTGACTTTTTCCAGTGACTCACAAATGTAATCTTTGGAGAAACAGCTTAATTAATCTCTTAAGAAGCAGGTCAGTCATCTGTTAGAAGGTTATAGAAGCTTACTTCTCCAGACTTCTGTCTCCTCAAATTATAGATTATCATAATAATTAGGGCCTTTTCATTTTCTCTGGAATAGTAGGACTTGACAGTGTTTTAAGAGCTTTCACATCTATGATTCTGTTGAATCCTCCCAACATTCCCATAAAAATTGCCTGGGTGGGTACTATCCTCTGCTGTTTACAGATGGATGAGGAAGTCAAGGCACATGGAATTTATGACTTTCCAAATTAAAGAGGTGAGTTAGATAAACCTCTACATCAGGACTCCTAATCCTCAGAGCCACTCTGTCTGGTCTACTTCATTTAATTAGAATGTAAAGATTAGACATTTCCTTGTGTTGACTTTAAAATTTAGCAATTGTTAGTTAAATTTAATACTTCACTTACATACACGTGTTTATTTTACTAGCTCTTGCCTGTTTAGTTCAGTGAACTTGATAGTATAATATTTAGGAACAAATTCAGATTTTTGTGTGTATGATGGTTTTACTCCCATATCCTTTAGCTTTAGTAGTTATTACTAAGTGTATTAAAATGTACTGTTAAGCATATTAAAAATAAATTTGCATCTAGTGTTTTTGAATCATGAGTGGGGAGTTGTGATAGATCTCGAAGCCAGAGTCATTGAAGAACCAGCAATTTCTTTAGTAACCCTCCCCCTTTGGAGATAACTGTAGTTTCATGTGAAAGAAAACAAAGGCAACTAGTATATTATTAGATTTACTGTTTCCCTGGGTACAATCATGCTAGACTATAGCTGAGTATCTTACCTGGACACTAATGTTGATCCAGTCAAGACAGAGAACATTACCAAATCTATTCCCTGGAAGCCAGCAATGTTTTGATTTGTTTCCTTTTTGCTGCCATGACTGTCATTTATCATATTGTGTACTTTGTATTAGTAAACCAGCTTAAGCTCACTTTTCTGGCCTTAAGTTAAATCCATTTACCAAGAATGCAGTAGTGAGTCAGGTGGGTAACACATAAACACACCACAATAAATAAACCCAAGTTAGTAAAAGCCAAATATCGTTCAGACCACTAGACCACAGCCCTGCTAGTACTTTGTAATGCTCTGTTCATTTTCCTCCTTGGCCTAGCTACTTAACTAGACCGTGGTCATTTTTATAAGACGTGGTTATATCAGGTCTCAGCTGTGGATACATTTAGCCCTTTGTAAAAGCCAGTCCTTTGTTACCAAGCAATTAAGTCCTAAGTCCAATACTTCCTGTGAGTCGATGAACTCCCAAAGTCTTGCCTATACGCCTCTGTGACTTACACACAGGTAGCACTACTTGTCTTGCTGCCAGAATGATCCTCACACCTTCCCTATAACTCTCATTCCCCTGTGGCCTTCCAGCCAGAAGTGTGGTCCTCAGACCTGGCTTCTCAGCAATTAGCCCTGAGAGGAAAGAACCAGCTGGCTCCTGGAAATATGCTGAGAGCAGACAGAACTTACCCACGCCTTCAAAATTGTACCCTGCTGCCCAGGAGCTTGCTTCAGTAGCCTTCCTTCCCAGCCCACTATGGCCGCCGCCAGTAGCAGTGCGGGCATCCGTTGGTCCAGACAGGAGACGCGAACTCTTCTCTCCATACTAGGTGAGGCAGAGTACATCCAACGCCTCCAAACTATGCATCATAATGCAGATGTCTATCAGGCTGTGTCTAAGCGGATGCAGCTGGAAGGCTTCCGCCGCACCGAACGCCAGTGCCGCTCCAAATTTAAAGTTCTGAAGGCATCGTATTTAAAGGCCTATGTTGCCCATGCCACAAGCATGGGGGATCCACCATACTGTCCATTTTATGATACGTTGGATCAGCTTCTTCGAAATCAGATAGTGACTGACCCAGACAACCTAATGGAGGCTGCTGCTTGGGCCAAGCACTGTGACCAGAATTTAGTGGCCTCTGACGCC